CCACCTATATATATATATATATATATAAATACACACATACTGAAGTCGGCGATAAATTTTCAAAGTTTCTAACGAAAAAACTTTATTTTTTTTGTAAATGTAAATTTAAATTTGGTTCAGCAAGTAGGACAATTGACAAAGAAGTTTAAGCAAAAAAATAGACACACATCAAAAAGTCTTCAAAAAATTTCACGACGAAAAACCTACTTACATCGAGTATTAAAATAGATGAAAATTGAGAAAACACATAAGAGATTAGGAAAATTTTACAAACGAAACATATACATCAGGTTTACAAAATCCCTGTTTCACAACATTTCGGCCAGTATCATTCAAATCGTAATGATTTGAAATAAGGCAAATCCATGTTCGAATAAATGCCAATAAGAAGCTTGATGCCATAGTGAAGAGATAAACTTTATAATAAACCATAATCTGAAGAAGTCTTGGCAGATCTGATTGCTACATTTATTTTTGGTATGACTTAAGATGAGGAAATCTGAAAGGGTTGCTCGTCGGCGTAGTGGGAGAAAATATATTATCCAGAGCATTGTTACTGGCGATGGGTTTCACTCTCTAGCCTTTAGTAATTATTAACACATGATTTATGGCCAAGAACCAAAGGATTCAAGAAAACAGTTTGATCCCAAAACCACTTTTAATATAAATATATATTGACCTAATTAAAATGACTAAGAGCTACTCAAGCTATAGCATGACCATAAGAAAATGGAAAAAATTGCAGTTCATAATTTTCTGTAGAAAAGATACTAGGTAACCCTAGACTTGAAGAGGTCAATCAGTAGCGATTGGGTAAACATCCTACCTGAAGTCAGTACCACATATCAGCAGTTCTTAGGGGGAAAAAGCTCTTTGAGAGTAACTTACTTCTTACTAATGGAATAGGAAAGACATCAGGATTATTTATCCTTGTGTACGTGGCATGGCGGGTCTCAGTTGCAAAGGTCAAGATGGGTGGAACGAAAAGGATGTAGCTTTTCAGAACACATGGTGGATATAGCGATATAACCGCGAGGAGGCGGGGAAGTTAATTTATCAC